CAGCAGGACTTGCATCCCACCATCTGCTCTCACAGTTGCTTGTGTAACCAGTACATGCAAATGCATCTTTCCTTCCTTCCTCCCTTCCCTTCTCCTCCTCCTCCTCCATCACTACGTTGGTTAAAGCTGCTCCATTGTTCTTGCCAAAATTGGTGCCCTGCTGCCTCCCTCAGCTTGGGAAAAGAACTAAACCAGGACAAACATGTAATTCAATAATTAACTGAACTGATAAAAGGGAAAAAAAAACCCAAAACATTTCCCACAATAAATTCTGAAGTCCTGTTTATTTTGGAGGGAAAAACTCACACTCCTACTACCTGTACAGCGGGAAAGAAAAATAACCTAAAGAGTCCAGTAAAATGTTGAGGATTACAGTTAAATGTAAAGTGTGGATCCATCCTATAATGTTTTTATCCAGATTTTGTGATAATGCATCACTAGGATAATGTCATGTCATCAGGAGCAGCAAAGCCATGTGTATTATGGGAGACAAACTGCTTTTGAGGAAGCATAAGGAGAAACTTCGTACTTAATGACCTGGCTAATTAAATCAGGCTAATTACATGGCTTAACTCTAGTAGCCTGGATATAAAAGTTAAGTCTACTTAAAAGTTTACATCCCCTCTCAAAGGAAACAATTATATCCTCTCCTGAAGTTACCGAACTCACCAGCATCAATTTTGATGACAGATTTGTCTTGCTTAATGGCAGCTTGCTTATTTTTCACATCAATCCATTTTCCCATGACACCAATCCATCTTCCTATGACAACTTTTTCTATAGCTGCAGAATCCACTACTTCAGGCTGCTCCTCTGCAATGAAAAAAAAGGCAACTTTGAACATATATTATGAACAAAACAGGACTTGGATCACGTTGTCCAGAGAAGCTGTGGATGCCCCAGCCTTGCCAGGTTGGATGGAGCCTTGAGCGACCTGGTCTGATGGGAGGTGTCCCTGCTCAGGGCAGGAGAGTTGGAACAAGATGACCTCTAAGGTCCATTCCAATCCCTTAACATACTATGACTACAGAAAAACAAGGTGGGAGACAAATAATCCACCCCTTGAATGTCACAGTTTTCCCTGCTGAGGGAAAAGAAACCCCAAGCCACAGGACTACACAGATGAGAGCAGGGATTTGGGCTGCGCAAGCTTCTGTCCCACTGAGTATCTCACCTTGTTCATTCCTATTCACCATGTTGAAACACAATGCAAGACACACTGAGAAAAACAAAGACAGCTGCTGAGAGCCTGTTGACACATTCAATTTGCTCTGTAATGCCAACTTAACCTCATCTACCTCCTCCCTACTTCAGCCCTGCACAGGCCACACAAGTACTCTTGTGAGCTCAGGTGAACTGTCTCAGGGTATTGATCCAAGTGAAAAATAATGTGGCACAGTAGAAATTAAAAAATTTGTATCAGCTTCCTGTTCTCCAGCTTGTTCCAGTACAACTCCAGTTCTGCAGGGATTGAGGAAACCACTAAGATGTTAAAGCAAAGAGCTGGGAAAACACAAAGTCTTCAGAGGTCTGAGCAGTCACTGCCACTGACAGCAAGATACAGATGGCATGGCCCCAATTCAAAATCCTGAGCACAGTCAGGAAGCACCTGATGCTCTACTCTGTTTTCAGGGTACTGATGGCAAATTCCATGGGTTTAGACAAGGAAATTACATGCCCCTGCAGGGACACCAGTGTGCCAGGCTTTCTGTGGGCTTCCTTATTTATACATGCTGTTCCCTGTAAGATATATACTGCAGAAAGCAACCCACTGCCCAAAAAATTTCCTATGAATTATTCCCTAGTTTCTCATTTAACTGGGAGCATTCAGCAGACTCCATAATTTTGTGAAGGATTAAACTTATAAAAAGTGGGAACCCTTATTAAAGAAACCTCTATACACACAGCAAGGATTCCTCCTGGCATATGTTCTATGATGCCAAACATAAGAATTTCAATCATTAGACATGGACTCATTTAAAGAATCTTGTTACATCTCCAGGGAAAAGTATTAAAACCTGTCATTTGCAAAACTCAAAAATTTGAGGCAAAACTTAAATCTGTCAGAAATTGTTCAGTTAAATCAGTATAGCATGAACTGACACCAAGGCCAATGATCATTCAGATCTGGAAGCACTGATCTCTAATGCTGAATTCTGTGCTGTGATAAAGAGGGTTTACACTCATGGATGTGTATCTGACAGCAAATTTTAGCCTGCATATTTGGGATTTCATGCCCAAACAGTATTTTAAAATTATTCTTACTGATAATGGTGCTGGTTATTACTGTAGAGTGGAAAAAGACCTAAGTAAAATGTTGGATGGACGAGGGACAGGAGGAATATCTCTACTAGACTTGTCTATAGTAGGAAAAGAAACAGCTTCTCAGTATGAAACTACAGACAAGGTTAATTATGTACTGGTCTGTGCCAGCTGATCAAGCTGAACTGAGTACAATCATCTTACAAAAGTAACAGCAAAGAGGCATGAAACTATATCTTGCTTACACTACTTTTAAAAACGTATTAAGTGCTGTAGCAAATCTTTAAAGCTATAATGTTATATATGCTGCAAGCTCCAAAATTAAAAAGATTTAAGGGATTATTCATCTTTTCAAGGGCTCACAATACTTCCCAGACCAAACCTGAAGAAAAGGAGAATGTAGAAGAATGACAGAGAACTCACCACAGACAAAAGAAACCCTAACAGAGCATTTAGCTGATGTCCTGCTTTATCCCTCACCTGATGCAGCTTTAAGGTACTACCCAGCCCTCTTCAGTAGTTCAAGTCTTGCAAAATCATTTTATGGCCCAGTTACTTTTCATATATGGTAACTGAGTCAAGAGAGCTTACAGAATTTTACCATGCCAGTAGATAACCAAGAAAGAGCTTCCATGGCCAAAACATTCTGCATGGAGCTGTCAACAGACCTCAAGAGCACCAAGCATGGATGCAGCCAGCACACTGAGGTGCTGTTCCTTTGCACAACAAGAACACTGCACACAATTTTCAGGTTTGTTTTTGGTGATTCAAACCCCCACTGCACTGATCTGAGGCTGTGACACACAGGTCTCAAGCATGGAAAGCTGCATACCTGGATGATATGAAGTGCAGGGTCCTGTACCTGGGTTAGGGCAATCCCAGACACACCTATAGGGTGGCAGAGAAGTCATTGAGAGCAGCCCTGGGAGAAGGAGCTGGGGGTAACAGTTGATTAAAAACTCAACATGAGCTGCAGTGTGCACTCACAGCCCAGAAACCAACTGTGTCCTGGGCTGCATGCAAAGGAGTGTGGGCAGCAGGCGAGTTAAGGGATTCTCCACCTCTGCTCTTGTGAGGCCCCACCTGGAATACTGCACAGGGGGTTAGGACTAGATGATCTCTAAGGTCCATTCCAGCCCCTTAACATACTATAAAACTATGATTCTGGCTTGCCAACCAGGAGGTGCTTTCCAACACACCTGACAAAGCAGATCCCACGGAATCCTCTACGGAACAACACAATCCAGATGGTTTGCTCTCCTCTTCCTCCTCGCTGAAGGACTCAAAGGTGTCTTCTGAATAGTCCAAACCTGAGCCACTATAGCTCTGGCTTGACTCCATGTGCCCTTTTCCACAGCTTCCAGAGCTCTCTGCCATGGGGCAGTACTGCAAATCCAAACAACAGCATACAGCAAGCTCAGTTACACAAGGAAAAGGACTGTGTTACTTACAGCACCAAGAGAAATAAGGACTGTTACAGCTCAGCTCACACCTGATTTAACCACCACAACAGGTGGATAAAATCACAACTCAATCAGCCACTGGACCAAATTCAGGTGTGTCACTGTGCTCGGGGATCAGGCAGCTTTGTTTTAAAGGTGCTGACTTTGGTCATTGCCCTACTGAACATCCTATGCTGCCTATTTTACCTGCCACATTCCTGCCAAAGTCTTTCAGTGCACACTGTAAAGACCCAGTGCCCCTAAAACAAACTCAGCCCTTCCTTCCTAAGGCTGGGTTTCCAAAACTCATCTCTAGTGCCAAATTTCTAGGTCCAAAGGTTTTTTAACATGGTCCCAAAAATGAAAAAAATTGTTCTGATCTAAACTTGAGAAATTAATAAACACTAAGTAGTTATTTTGTCATTACACCCCCACTGATTCAGGTTGGAGAGTGGTTAATAGGGTCAGGTCTAGTGAAGAAAACAACAGGAACTGCAAACAGTTCTCCAGCCCTCAGCTAACCTGTGGCAGCTGCACAAGCAGCACATGGATGGGTAAGGAGTGAGAACAAGAATTTCACTAAGTAACGTGACTGGCTGAACAAGAAATGCTTCATAATATCTGATATGACTGATATTCACCCATTTTCACAGTGAAAGCAGGTGTTTGTTCCAATATCAGCAGATAACTAGCAAGCCATAAGTATACTTATGAATAGCAAATAAAACTTTACAACTTTGAAGTTGTATCTGCTATAACCACTAAGTAACCTTGGGCTAATGGAAGGTGTCCCTGCCCATGGCAGGGGAGTTGGAACAAGATCATCTGTAAGTTCCCTTCCTTAACGACCAAGAAATCTTGGTCATGGGCAGGGACACCTTTCACTAGCCCAGGCTTGGTCCAAGTCCCATCCAACCTGGTCTGGAACACTTCCAGGGATGGGGCAGCCAGAGCGGCTCCGGACAACCTGTGCCAGTGCCTCAGCACCCTCACAGCCAAGAATTCCTTCCCAATATCCCATCTAACTCTGTCCTCTGGCAGAGGGAAGCAATTTCCTCTTGTTCTGTCCCCCCAGGCCCTTGTCCCAAGTCCCTCTGCAGCTGTCTTGGAGCCCCTTTAGGCACTAGAAGGGGCCCTAAGGTGTCCCTGGAGCCTTCTGCTCTCCAGGCTGGACCCCCCCAGCTCTCCCAGCCTGTCCCAGAGCAGAGGTTCCCCAG